CCCACCTCATCGAGCCTCCCGGTTGAACGAATCAGAACATGTAATTAAAAATGCAGGGTAGTATTTAGGCCAGAAGCTACTAAATCACCTGAACTAAATAGGGCGACAATCCCTTTACAGAATGTGAGATAGGAAAATGCAATGTCTTCCCTGAAATTCACATCTGCTCTGGGATCTAAGCGAGGTCCAACCTAGATTAGAATACCTTTTGATAAGCAAGTCTATGTGAAATTCAATGAAAAGGTAAGATCAACTCAAATGATTGTGGGAAAATTCATTTACCAGTCCTTCACCAACTTAACGAAATAGAGTAAGTACATCTCTTTAGACTAAATAATGTTCTCCGTCGTTCCCCTTGAGCCTTTGTGACGCGTTGTGATCAAATATTGCTCTCTTAAACGGACGCAACATTCCATCATTGTCCTTGCTTTTCTACATAAAATCCACGCCTCTAACGTTTTACAAGAAACTCACTGACTTGTTTTCTTGCTTCTTTATACAAGGCCGAGATACTCTATGTAGTAGAGTGAAGCCAAACACATATGTTTAGTAAATAGGACAGGTTGTTTGTGCGATCCCAGTCACCTTTAATACGTACTCAGATCTTCGTCAATAAATTTGGGAATTTTTAGTAAGAGGTGTAAATTGAAAGTGAAGAAAAATGACAAAGGCGAAAAATTTTAGCGCTGCACTTTAGGGAAATTTGTAAGATTACTTGTAATTAAAATGATCACTCAAAAGCATATAGTAAATTAATGATGAGGCCCTAATATGGAAAACCATAAATGTATTCTCAGCTACGTCGCTTTGCAAAGAAGATTGAGAATTTCACCAAGTTTGGAATAGGGTAAGGATAGACCCTGAAAAGACGTCTTACACTTCATTATAGTGTTTTTATACGTTTAGGATTTGTAAATACTACGAGTAGAATAGACTTGCCCGGCAGCTTGGACTGTAGTTCTAGGCTCAAGCATAAAAGCGATCTTGCCAACTGGGGGTTGACTGACATCTTTGATACGGATCAGCATATTAAGTCGGTTTTCTTCGAAGGCCCGAATCTCCGACATAGCCAGCTGTTCACCACTCTTAGCTACAGGTACTATGTTACCAGCAGTCTCAATCCAGGCCTGTTGATTATGTAGGATCTGTTTGTAAAAATAAAGAGAAGATACACATAAAAATGTATATCTCATTACACTGATTTACTGGTAGTCTCGCTTACGAATATAAATAACGTTGTCGATTGCTATAGCAAACATACGTTTGTTTCATCGGCACTCCCACCAAAAGAATATGATATA